ACATGTTCTTACTCAATATCAAGATTATTGTTTTTATGTTAAATTGTATAATGTCGGACTTTTTTTGCCGTCCGTGAGGAAAAGAAATGGGGCTCAGAGCATCAGAATACTGAAATCTGTATTTTTTAAATCTTTTTTTCCTTCAAATTTGTTATTATTTGGTGCAGGCACGAAACGTACTACCGATAGAAATACATTGCTTTAAAAATCGCTCTGTGTGACACGAAAAAAAATGGGAAAATCGTGTTGGTGAACACGATTCAATAGATTACATTTCGTGACTATAACACAAAATGCCGTAAGACTGGGTTGGATGACATGCATTTGGTTTTGACTCCAAATTAGTTTATTAACATAACTATTTTATTTTAGAAAAAACATGTGGTATATCTTGAAAATAATCCAGATGAAAAGAGATACGCTAATAGATGGATAGAAAAATTGAAAAAAGAGACAAAATGCTAAACAAACAAAAATAAAGATTACTTTGACTGATAACATTATTATTATTTATCTTTTTATGTGTCTTTTTTTCAATGTATTTATTTATTTAATATCCACACATTAATTATTTTGGCCAGACGTGGTTAATGATGACATTTAATACCAATCATTCTTTGTTTTCTCATTTTGTTTTGATTCAACACTGTCAAATCATTCATATACAAGCTGTCTGCATCCCCCATTACCAGTGTCCCCTCGTGAAAGTTCAACCAAAGAGCATTATCTGATAAGAAACATACTCCATCTGCCACAGTGACTGTAATGACAAACCCTGTTCTTCATGAGCTACCAATTAAGAGAGGCCTCCAATATATGTGTCACTGCTGCTTTCCTCCCCTCTCTCATCACTGCTGCAGCTCCTGTGGGAAATACAACGGAGCCGCTGACAGAAAGAATCCAGTTACAGCTTTATCATCAGAGCAGCAGTGTGTGCATTGCTGTAAATATTCAATTACTTTACATGATAGTGGCTTTAACTGTATGGCACTATTTTTCACTTTTAATTTTAACCATGTAAGGCCACAAACTAGGGCATTTACGTATACTGTGACTGTATTTGCAGCCTGTATGGAAAGCAATTTTCTAAACAGATTGCAAATGTGTCAGATAATTAATCATAACTGCTTGCAGGCACAGCAAGCAGTTATGAGCAGAAATGCTCATAACTGCTTGCTGTGCCTGCTAAACCTGAATATGGATTGTGTCACAGTGTTTTTGTTCACCCGTGTCTGTGTTGGAAGGGGTTGACCTATTCTCATTGTTACACAGCTTTGTAAAAAGGCCTTACACAACCAGCCTTTATCCAGCATTGAAAACTAACACCATATTCCTGTTATACTGTGAAGGCTTACAAATGCAACCCAACCATAATCCCCCTGCTGCAAGGGCAGCTGGTGGACACTGGTGGACATATGTTACGTTGTCTTTTTTTTTCAGGTAATAAAGATTCGTAAACATAATGATGTATAATATGATTGTACAAAAAACAGGACAGAGTTCAGTGGGTTCTCATTTTTTACTTGTTTTCCTTTTCAAGCTCTTCTTACGACATAGAAAACTTACAAACACAAGAGGGAGAAGAGCAATCGCTGCAACAGTAGCCAGAAAAGACAGTAGTATATCTACAGAGTGGTAGGAATACCAGGGCAGTCTGTAGGACTCTGTTCTCAGGTGAGCTGCACCTTTGTGTCTCATGACAAACTCTATCCAGAAGAGGGCGGTGTCCAGCGGCTTCATCGGCTGATCTCTGTGCAGCCTGGAGAGTCTCTGCATGTTCAACATGTAGGAGGGCTCATTCAGGACGTCCTGGATGGCATCCTGAAAGTTGTTGTCTTTGTCCACTGTCGCTAGTGTAAGAATCTTAGCTGCTCCTCTCTCCTTTAGACGCAGCAGGTTGTCGTATTGGTCAAAAAACAAAGGTATACCAACAACTGGGACACTGTGATAAATAGCCTCTTGGACTCCATTGGTTCCTCCGTGAGCCACAAACAGTTTTATCTTGGGATGTCCTAAAAGGTCATTCTGAGGCATCCAGTCTACTATTAAAGTGTTGTTGCCCAGAGTGGCTGGTCTCTCACCTTTATGTCTCCAGATGACTTTCTGGGGTAATTTAGCAAAAGTTGCAGCAATGTTGTCAGTCATATCAGCAGGAAGTTCACTTACAAAGGTCCCCAGAGACATGATGATGACCCCATGGTCTCCAGAACTCTGCACAAACTCCTCCAGGTGTTCAGGGAGAGGTTTTGCTGGTTTGCACTGGAACCCTCCAATATAGACAACATTAGGCATGGTGGGACGAGGGAACTCAAACACAAAGTCCACTCTCATAAGCCACAGGTCTGCTCCCTGTAATAAGTCATTATACCGGACGTCTGGGTCGAAGAACTTATCACAAACAGCTTGATACTGAGGGCGGATAAAAAATGCATCCTGAGCTTGCCAAATGAGAGAGAAAAGGAAGTTCTTGACTCTTTGAAAGAAGGTCATTTTGTCTGACAGTCCTGAGCCGGTCAATGGGACATAAGATAAAGGAGACGGTGCAATGGCCCTATGTCCTTCTCCACTAGTTATCCACCGCACATTATAGACCAGAGGCAGCTTAAGAGCGTGAGCCAACAATATACCAGCACCCCACGCCGGGTCAGTAAGCACCAAGTCATACTTACTCTCCTTCAAACTATTCATTAAGTCCTTATCTTTAAACATGCCAGTAGCCATTTTGCACATTATTCTGTGCATGTTAAACATCGCAGCAAACATCTCCGCCTGCAAACTTGCAAAGCTCAAAACTGAGCTCTCTTCTCTTTCTATGGCAAAGATCTTCTTCAGGATCTCGTTGATGAAGTCATTATTAAAGGCCTCAGTGACAGGAACGGTGATTGTGTTGAAGTGCGGAGAGTCATCCTGGATGTACCAGCTTTTATTGGTCCACACCACATCGACAGAGTGTCCTCGAGAGTGGAGAGCTTCGATCATGATGTCCATGTTAACCCAGTGGCTACCTTCCAAAGGAAGGATCAAAATCTTCCCTCCGTGACACATTCTCCATGACAAGCACACGAAGGATAACAGGAGAAGACTTGTTGCATTTCTGTAAAGGGGCATATTTAACCTGAACATGAGAAACAGATAAAGACATCATTATTCACTCTCGAAATCTAACCTTAAATGCTACAAACATATACTTCAATAAAGTACTTTTACATCAAACATTTCCCATTAAAATAATTAAAATACATGCAAGATTGATCTGCAACGTACCTGTTTTACATGAAGTAACTCCGGGTAGCAGGCGCTAAGATGTTTGTGTGAAACGCCAAAGGAAACACTCAATACAAAACTAGAAATTCCATGAAAGCTTATATAAGTGGATTATGGATAATCTTTTCTTCAGGGATGGACAACAATGTGGCCTCTTTGTTGCTTAGAAATGTGTTAAAGCTACTTATTTGTACCTCCTTGAGTGAATTCTGTTCTGAAGTAGCCTTCAGTATTTCTTATTTGTGGTCAATAACATGCTCTTTTTATAGGAGGATTTTCAAGAGGGTGCTCATACCAACTAATAACATGTAGAGCTGTTGATCTTTCAGGAAAGAGCAAAGGGGATCCAAATACTTGTGTCTTGTTCAGAGAAAAATGTCTTCAAAGGCAATAATAATGATAACCATGTATCTTTGCATAACTGTTTTTACTGTAAGGATCCCAGACTAATCCAACTTTTGTGCAGATTTAGTTGCATTGGATGCATGACATGTTTTGGATTGGATTTCAGATTTCTATGTTTTTTACCATTTTGAATTCCATGCAAAATAATTGTACCTTTTATAGTTAAAGTGTGTTAAAGTGTTTTGTAGACAGCTATGAAGATGTTTTGAGCAGTTTAGACAAATGCACTTTCTTCAGGACCAGTTTAAACTGTCTTTGTTTGTTTGAAAGCAACAAAAACATTGTATTTACAGTCCCTATATTTGATGGAGCAGCAACTGAAATTCACAGATTTCATCGCTACAATCACCAACATGTTTTTGTTGATGGTGCCTGTGTTGCTTTTTTGATGCTGTAATGTGCAGACATGGCCATGCTGAGGCAGTGCAGGCTGAGCTTCTGGAGCACTGAGAGTTCATCAGTCCTTTCTCATTTCTAAATGTTTCTCCTCCTTGACTCCTTTCTCCTAGAGACTCTTCCTTGCCTTCTCCACTCGCATCTCCTCTGGGTGGGACTAAGACACAAGGCAAGGATTGAGAGAGGAGGGAGGATTTGCAGACTGGGAATTGAGAAATGTATTTTTGTGCTTAGAGATGTTGATATTGGTTTAGTGAACCTAAGGCTTTCTGTTGCATTGCACTGCATTACATCATTTGAGTTACTTGCAGTTTGCTAACAAAACTTCCTGGACATGCATTGCCTCTGTAATGATGTGTTACTAAGAATCGTGTTCCCTGAAAACGAATGCAGGATTTGTCCCTAAGGCAGAAAGGCTTTCAGAGAAACTCAAGTCTGGGTACGAACGTCCGCCTCTTCTTCCCGCGCAGTCACGCAGAAGGAATTCAGAAAAACCATGTGCACCAGCACCCCTGAAGAGGTGTGGCTTTTTGTTGAACTGTTGTGAACGATTCATCTCTTGAATGCTCTTATGCTGACGTCATATCTGTCAATCTGTCAATCACACAGCTAGTTCTAATAAAGGGATCATTGCTGGCTCACTCGGAGAACTCAGTCAGTGTCATGTGAACTACAATGCAAGTGTGTGGCGTCTTTTATTCCTCCGTAGTATTAGTCCAAGGCTATCTAGACCTTTGCTGGTAATGGCTGCTGCGCCAACAGGTTATGGGCCCAGAAAGGATTTTGGAAACCGATGGAATCGTTTGTGCTTTGACGGAGATGAGAAAAACTATGAGTTGTGGGAACAAAGTTTCTTGGCCACCTGCGTCGACAAGGGCTGAAAAGCACCATATTGAAAGAGCCTGACAGTGGCGGAGGCAAAGAGGACGCAGAAGGAGCCGCGGTAAGAGCCGCAGAAGACGCTGATAAAAATGAAGAAGTCTACGCTGAACTTATTCAATTGTTGGACGATACAAGTTTGTCTCTGGTCATGAGAGATGCAGCGGACGATGGGAGAAAGGCGTTGAAGATTCTGAGGGATCACTACGCAGGTACAGGAAAACCACGTGTGATCAGCTTGTATACAGAGCTTACGTCTCTCCAGAAATATGCTAATGAAAGCATCACAGACTATATTATACGAGCAGAGACTACTATCACAGCACTGAGGAATGCAGAAGAGATTTTGAGTGACGGTTTATTGATAGCTATGATTCTGAAGGGGCTGCCAGCGTCATTTAAGCCGTTTTCTATCCACACTACACAAAGTGATGAGAAGATCACCTTCGCCGAGTTCAAGACCAAGCTGAGGAGCTACGAGAGCACTGAGAAGTTCAGTGGGAGCTCAGTTGATGACAGCGTGATGAAAGTAAGAGGCAAATACTTTGATGTGAAGCTGCTGACCTGTTATACTTGCGGCCAGAAGGGTCACAGGGCCCGCGAGTGCAAGGCTGCTGGTCACGGGGAACAACAGAGACAGTGGTGCCGTTTTTGCAGGAGTTCCACGCACAGAGATGCAAACTGCAGGCGGAGAGGACGACGAGACAACGTAAAACAGGCCATGGACGAAGAGGACCACGACCACCACCACACATTCGCCTTCAAGGCCCGCAAACGACAGGTGGACAGCGACCCGAGTGATGGACTGAAGCAAAGAGGGCTTATGGTCGACACCGGTGCTACATCGCACATAGTGACTGACATGAACAAATTCAAAGACTTTGACGAGAGTTTCGAGCCACGAAAACATGTCCTGGAGTTGGCTGATGGAGTGAGGGCCTCTGGCATAGCGCTGAAGAGAGGTGTAGCCAAAGTTTGGCTGAAAGACAATACGGGTCGAGAGGTGGAGCCGATGCTGACGGGGGCGCTGTACGTCCCATCCTTTCCCCAAGACATTTTCTCGGTCAAAGCAGCGACGACCAATGGAGCCACGGTCGTATTCAAAGAAGGACAGAACAAGCTCATTCACGAGAACGGTACGACATTTGATATTAAGGTGTATGATAGATTGTTTTATTTAAACACAGTTAATGATGAAAATGTTGATGAATGTCATGGGTGTTATGATATCAAAACATGGCACGAAATTCTAGGTCACTGTAACTACGAAGATGTGTTGAAATTGCAAAAAGTCACAGAGGGTATGACAATTAAAGGCAAAACTGATACATCTAATTTGACATGTGAAGTGTGCACAAAAGGGAAATTTGCTCAGAGCAGGAGCAGAGAGCCAGATGAAAGGGCAAAGGCTGCACTGCAGCTTGTACACACAGATTTGTCTGGACCTATAGATCCTACAGCTAAAGATGGGTTCAGATACACATTAGCATTTACTGATGACTATTCAGGAGCAGTTTTTGTTTATTTTTTTAAATCTAAGTGTGACACAGTCAAGGCTACTGAGAAGTACATTGCTGACGTTTCACCTTATGGAAAAATCAAATGCATTAGATCTGATAATGGTACTGAGTATACTTCTGGTCAATTTCAGTCATTGCTAAGTAGAAATGCCATCAGACATGAGCTCCTTATTCACCCCATCAAAATGGGACAGCTGAGAGAAATTGGAGAACATTGTTTGAAATGGCAAGATGCATGCTAATTGAGAGTAACCTACCAAAAGAGTTGTGGACATATGCAGTTATGACTGCTGCTGTCATTCGAAATAGGTGTTACAACAAACGTGTTGGACAGACTCCATACTACATGTTGACAGGAAAGAAGCCTAACCTTTCAAAAATGAGAACATTTGGGTCACCATGCTATGCTTACAAGCAAAACAAGAAAAAGTTGGATTCAAGATCTGAAAAGGGTATTTTTGTAGGCTATGATAAGAACAGCCCTGCTTATTTGGTGTTTTATCCTGACACAGGAAAAGTACTCAAAAATAGGTTGGTCAAATTCATCACCAAGAGTGTCATTGAGAGTCAGACTCAAACAGAGCAGGAAACGGATGATGAAGATTTCAGTATGAGGAGAGCTGTAAACCACCTACCAAAAATTGAAAAGGCAAATGTAATCCCAAAAGAGTCACAGGAAAATGAGACTGAGATTTGTGATAACATTCAGACAGGTGAAGGCCAAAGTAGCCAGAGGACATCTTACCCACAAAGGGAAAGAAAACCTCCTCAATATTTCCTGAGTACATCTTATCCACAAAGGGAAAGAAAACCTCCTCAATATTTGAAGGATTATGAGTGTAAAGTCGAATCTGATGACCAAGGAGAACTAACCCTTGATTACTGTTATTTGTGATGTGCCCCAAACATTGAAGGAGGCTATGACATCACCAAATTCTCAATTATGGGCTAAAGCTATGGAGGAGGAAATGGATTCACTAAGGGAAAATTACACATTTACCCTGACCACACTGCCAGAAGGTAAACATGCAGTGGGGGGCAGATGGGTTTACACAGTGAAAGAGAACCCAGTTAAAACATGCAAAGCCAGGTATGTAGCAAAAGGCTATAGTCAAGTGTCTGGTATTGATTATAAGGAAACCTTTTCTCCAACTGCAAATATGACATCTGTACGTAGTCTAATGCAAATCGCAGTACAACATGATTTAGAATTGCATCAAATGGATGTTAAAACGGCATATTTACATGCTCCTATAGACTGTGAGTTGTTTATGGAACAACCTGAAGGATTTGAGGTTAAGTCAGAGAAGGGGGAGAAACTGGTCTGTAAACTTAACAAATCACTGTATGGTCTGAAACAATCAGGACGGAATTGGAATAAAGTGAAAATGTTTTTTTTCAAAATCCGGCTGACCATTGTGTTTACAGTAAACTAACATCTAAAGGTGAAAGGATTATTTTGATAATCTGGGTTGATGATCTTATCATTGCAGGAAGCAACAGTCAAACAATCCAAAATGTAAAAGACATTTGGAGCCAAATTTAAGATGAAAGATCTTGGCAAACTTAAGAACTTTCTAGGCATTGATTTCACACAGACAGATGGTGAAATAAAGATGAACCAGAAAAGGTACATCATGAAAATATTGCAAAGGTTTGACATGTCTGACTGCAAGGCAAGATCGACTCCATGCGAGTATAAACAACAATTTGACAATGAAGGTGAATCTGTTGATCAAAAGAGGTATCGTGAAGTGGTAGGCAGCTTGATTTATGTGATGACATGTACTAGACCTGATCTAAGTTTTATTGTCAGTAAGTTGTCTCAACACTTATCCGAACCAAAAGAACAGCATATGGTAACAGCGAAACATGTGTTGAGATACTTGAAGGGAACTGTAGACCAGGAGTTGTGTTACAAGAGAAGTGATTCAAAACTAAAACTTGTTGCATATTGTGATGCTGATTGGGCAGCAGATCAAAATGACAGACGGAGCACAACTGGGTACTGTTTTAGTCTAAGTCAGACAGGACCTGTTATTTCCTGGAAATCTAAGAAACAGCCTACAGGTTGCTTTATCCACATGTGAAGCAGAATATATGGCATTGGCAGCTGCTACACAGGAACGTTTTTATCTTGTGCAATTATTAAAAGGAATGGACAGTGGAAATGATTATGCACCAGTGACAATCTTTGAGGACAACCAAGGGGCAATTGCACTATCAAAGAATCCTGTGTGTCGTAAACATGTTGATATCAAATATCATTTTGTTCGATCTGCAGTTAGTGATGGAAACATTATTATTGAATACTGCCCAACAACAGAAATGGTAGCTGATATTTTAACCAAGCCTGTAACAAAGGGCATGATTGAAAAGTTTGTGTATTTCATTTTTGGTGTTGAAGGGTAAAAAGAAAAAAAATGTGTAAATGTATGTCAAAGGTTGTCAGAATAAGATCAAGTGGGGGTGTTGAACTGTTGTGAACGATTCATCTCTTGAATGCTCTTATGCTGACGTCATATCTGTCAATCTGTCAATCACACAGCTGGTTCTAATAAAGGGATCATTGCTGGCTCACTCGGAGAACTCAGTGTCATGTGAACTACAATGCAAGTGTGTGGCGTCTTTTATTCCTCCGTAGTATTAGTCTAAGGCTATCTAGACCTTTGCTGGTAATGGCTGCTGCGCCAACACTTTTGGAATAGCAGATGGTAGCTGTGCTTCTTCTCAGCTTGATTGTGATCTAGTTGACACTTGACAAACAACGTCATTGGAGGCAGTCGCAATTTCTACAGGCTCGCACTACCTGTTAGCATCTGGCATCTGTTAGCATAGCTCTCCTGCTTACAAACTTTTAGCCATCCCTGCTTATACAAGTAGTAGTTTTAGTTGTCTGCGATCTGCGGAGGCCTACCTGTGAGTACGGCTGTACTGAGGTGTTTTTCCTCCGGAGACGTCGCGAAGAGACGGAGCGGCTCCACCTGTTGCTGCATGCGATCTGCGATTTACGGAGGCCTGCTCGTCGCGAAGAGACGGAGCGGATCCACCTGTTGCTGCCTGCGATCTGCGATCCACGGAGGCCTGCTCCCACCTGTAGAGTACGGCTGTACTGGAGAGGTTTTTACCCCGGAGACGTCGCGGAGAGACGGAGCAGCTCTACCTGTTGCTGCCTGCGATCTGCGATCTACGGAGGCCTGCTCGTCGCGAAGAGACGGAGCGGCTCCACCTGTTTTGCTGCCTGCGATCTGCGATCTACGGAGGCCTGCTCCCACCTGTAGAGTACGGCTGTACTGGAGAGGTTTTTACCCCGGAGACGTCGCGGAGAGACGGAGCAGCTCTACTTGTTGCTGCCTGCGATCTGCGATCTACGGAGGCCTGCTCGTTGCGAAGAGACGGAGCGGCTCCACCTGTTTGCTGCCTGCGATCTGCGATCTACGGAGGCCTGCTCCCACCTGTAGAGTACGGCTGTACTGGAGAGGTTTTTACCCCGGAGACGTCGCGGAGAGACGGAGCAGCTCTACCTGTTGCTGCCTGCGATCTGCGATCTACGGAGGCCTGCTCGTCGCGAAGAGACGGAGCGGCTCCACCTGTTTGCTGCCTGCGATCTGCGATCTACGGAGGCCTGCTCCCACCTGTAGAGTACGGCTGTACTGGAGAGGTTTTTACCCCGGAGACGTCGCGGAGAGACGGAGCAGCTCTACTTGTTGCTGCCTGCGATCTGCGATCTACGGAGGCCTGCTCGTTGCGAAGAGACGGAGCGGCTCCACCTGTTTGCTGCCTGCGATCTGCGATCTACGGAGGCCTGCTCCCAACTGTAGAGTATGGCTGCACTGGAGAGGTTTTTACCCCGGAGTCGTCGCGGAGAGACGGAGTGGATCCACGCTTCGGGCTTGGCCTGCTTCCACCGGGCGTGTGCTGCTGTACGGAGGAGGATTTTACCACGGCTGGGTTCTGCTTTCCACCTGTCCTGGTTCTGCTGTCGCAGAGGCCTGCTTTCACCCCGGGGATACCACGTTGCTGCTTTCGCCTGTCCTTTGCTGCTGTGCTGATTTTGCTCCAGGAACATCGCGGTTCCCTGGTCTGGAAAAATGGCCCATATCGGGATTCTGCTGTGCCTGTTAACTATTTTGGACTATGAGAAGATCTCTAGTCATTCTGAGGAGTCTACTGGATTCAGGTCTGTTCTGCCACCCGCAGTGGGCATCCCCTGCAAAGGTTCGGATGTGTTACACAAACAATTACCGGTTGCCTTGTCACAGTCAATCTGCTCGACAAAATATGTTTGTCTTTTTTGTTTTCCTGCGATGATGGTTCTTCAGGACTGCTTCTTAAGCTCTAATCACACTCTCGCAGACTTTTCCGGTGATTCTAAAGTAGATGACAATGTATGTGTGTCGCTTAAGAGGAAAAGATGCCTGTTTTTGTTGTTATTACTGTCAGGAAATTTACAACCTGGTCTGCCCAGTAGTAGTAGTCAGATCGCTACTCCTGCTGATTTTAAAGCTAGGTCTGGGTTGGGTTTCATCCACTTGAATGTGCGCAGTCTGTTAGGTAAACTAGATTTTGTCCGTATCTGGGCGAGCTCGACTGACGCTGACGTCATTGTTTTATCA